ATATATAACCATAAAAACTCAAAACATATGTATGTATATATATAACTATATATATGCATAGAAACCAAAACTCGAAGAAACCAATAAAATGTGTGTGTATATTATTTTGAGCTTAGAGTATCTAACACACATAATATAAATCTAAACTAGATTACCCAAGCTTGATCTTGATCTTCATTGAGCTCAACTTGGTACACGTTGCGGATGAAGCTAAACTTGGATCTTGAACTTGAATTGTACGATGCTTCACTCCACAATTCCGCCAACCTCTATTTGATATGATCGTTAAGGCTCGATTCCATCCAGCCTCCAACAACGTTGTTTGTCTATAATAAATAAGAAAACACAAATACTAGACAAACAACATTAGTGGTAAATTGTTTGTTAAACATCATCAAAACAAGAAGGTCAATAGTTTTTTATAAACTCTAAATTTTGAGTGTGTTTTTGCAATTTCAAAAATATTTATAATTTTTTCTATGTAATTTAAAATTTATAGATTTTGTATTATTTAAAAGTATAAAAATTCCAGGGTGTTTTAGTGTTAGTTTTGTCATTATTAAAACAAAGGAAGGAAAAGAGAAAAAAATAGATTTAAAAAAATTATGCGGATCAAGAAAGTATGTTGTCTATTTTAGAGATTTGGATTTAAAGGAAAATACCTCAAAATTATTTGGCTTTATAAATACAAATTAGAGTACGCGAGTTTAAAAACAAATAATGATAGAAATTTGGATTAAAGACACAAACCCTTTCTGTATATACCCCTTAAATGATTTTGTAAAACTAACCTGAAATTTTAGATGTGCAAAACAACCTCCCAAATCGCCAACTTTAGAAAACAAGGTAAAATTAAAAAAAGTCCTCCTTAAGTTTGATTATTTCTCATAACCTGCTCTACTTTGGAAACATCACAATGCCCTTAAGTTTTGGATTCTCAAGAAGAACAATTCAACTTTAAACAGTTTTCAAGAAACCTCCTGCACGATGCTTGTTTGGGGGTTTTATGACAAGATTTAAAGGGGTTATCACAGAAACACCCTGAGTTATTGGTGCTTCATAAAAGCCCCTTAAACCAAATGTTATTTGCACATATGCACCCCTCAAATTACACGTATTGGCAAACATAACCTCTACATCTTAGTATTTGTAAAACTACCCCTCAAATCATCAGCTTAAAATCAACAAAATTTTAAATCGGTGCTATAATTTTTACTTTTTTTTGGATAATTTTTACCTTGTGATACATATCATCTTATCAAAATTAATGACTAAATTGCTTAGAGGGTAATGTTTTTCAAAATTGATAATTTGTGTAGTGCTGATGATGTAAGGGGTATTTATGAAAATAACCCTAGATTAAAATGAAAGTTATACATAATACTGTTAGTCTGAGGTTTTCAGACAAAATTTAAGAAAGGCTCTGTAACACTTTGAAGTTAAAGGGGGTCATCTAAGAATGCCCAAAATTTGGAAACTTTCTTAGACAACACTGCCAACTCCACTTAATACATCATCCTAGAACTGACATAACCTTGTGCGTAGGCTAACGTTAACAGACCCTAGATGTATAATTAAAGCGCACACTAGTTTTGTGTGATGACGAATTCATCTGGCAAACTGCGGTTGGCCTGCAGCGGTGAATCAAAGTGCTGACAGGACTGAGTTTTGTCATTTTATGAGTTTTGAGAGCAGCCGCGTAGGAGGAGAGTAAGCTCCCACATTCAAATTAAAGCACTCAAAACATTAATACAAACTTCTGCTGTATCTTTTCACGAGCTTTGTCAGTTTTAACTTTTTATTAAACTTAGGGTTTTACCCTTCTTTTTTTGCTATATTTGGTATTGATGTCAGTAAATAGCCTTTGATGTGATGACCAAAATTGCTCAAAGCTGTAAAGTTGCCGTCGATATCTTCATGTTTTATGACTGGATCACGGGAGGGAAGAAGAAAAGAGGGAGGGAGAGAGAGAGAGAGAAAATTATTAGAAATCTAAAACTTGAAGAGTTGAAGCCTTGAAGGTCCTCACATGCCATAAAAAATACACCTCTTTGTGCTGCCTTTAGTATAAGCAATGGGACCCATGAGATCATAATTGAAGTTGTAATTGTGTGAAGTTATAGCTCACCCTTTTATTTACTTGACTTGATTGATAGGTAGATATCAGCCACCTACACGCTGGGACTACGTAGATTGTTTATCCTTCAATAAGAACAGAAAGGGAATGTTGTATCATTAGATATGAAAGTTTGGGTTGTTTTCCATGACGTCTAAATTTTTAGGGGGTTATTTATAATTCCAAATTTTTAAAAATTACAAAAAAAGAAAATTCAAATTTTACAAATAAGCCTTAAATTTTTAACATGAATACATACACAGAAAATCTAAGTATGACAAACAGGTCCCTAAAACTGAAAAATTTATAAAAAACAACCTTAAATGTTAAAAGTTTACAAAAAGCACCCTACAAATTTAAAACTTAAAAATAATCTTCCAACGTGCATATAGTAAATTAAAAATGAGGATTACAACATGCCTTGAAAATTTTAGAATTTGTAGAAAACACCCTAAAACTTTCAAAAGTTGCAAAAACATCTTTTCAATTTAAAATTTGTAAAAAAGAACATCGTGAGAATTTAAAATCTAAAACCAATACGTTGAAAACATAGGACCAGCCTCTTAAAAAAATTTAACTTTGTAAAAAACACCCTAAAGTTTAAAAAATTGTTAATAAAACTCCTTCAAAAATTGAAATTACAAGAAAACAACTCTCTATAATTTTTTGCCTCTTCAGCTTATTCATGTAAATGTCAAAATCTTTTAGGGTATTTTTTCAAATTTTAAAAGTTTCAGGGTGTTTTTTGTATATTCTAAAAATTTTAAGGCGTTGTTTGTAATCCTAGATTTCACTTTACTATTTGTAGGTTAAAATGGTTGGGATGATAAACTTTTCAATGAAGCTAGTTGAATTTAAATGGTTGGGATGATATAACATGCTTAAAATTGGTTCGGTTAAGTATTGTAGAGTGATTAAAATGTACGTACGGTAATTCTTACATAATCTCATAGTCAATGGGGGCTTCACAAAACCGCCTTAAATTAAAGGGTTATTTGTATATATATACCCTTAAATCGTGGGTACTTGCAAAAAGTACCTTCCAAATCTTAGTATTCACAAAATTACCCCTCAAATCATCAACCTAAAATGAACAAATTATCAATTTGATGCTAAAAATTTAGTTATTTTGTTGATAATTTATACTTTGTGATTACAAACAAGCTTATCAAAATTGATGTTTGATTGCTTTAAGGGTAGTTTCTTTAAAATCGATGATTTGAGAGATAATTTTGCAAATACTAAGTTTTGAAGAGTCGTTTCGTAAATAATCATGATTTAAGAGCTATATATGCAAATAACCCCAGATTAAAATGAAAGCTATACATAACACCGGTGGTTTGAAGTTTTCTGACAAAACTTAATTTGTGACACTTTTGAGTTAAAGTCTGAGAATGCCCAAACTTTGGAAACTTTCTCACCTAATGCCCGGGCTAGTATTATAGACTCCATATACATAATTAAAGTGTATGGTGCTTTTGTGTGATGATGAATTCATCTGGCATACTGTGGTGGGTGGCTGTGTACGTAGCGGTGAATCAAAGTGTTGTCAGTAGAGAGACTTTAGCATTTTACGAGTTTCAGTAGCATCAATACTGATCGAATCTCTACCATATATTTTTTCTATGTTTGATATTGATGACAATAAATAGTCTTGATGTGATGATCAAAATTGCTCAAAGCTGAAACTGTAAAGCTGTCGTCGATGTCTTTATGTTTTATGATTGGGTCATGGGAGCGAAGAAGGAAAAAATTATTAAAAACATTAACTTAATTGTTCACATGCCATGGAAAAATACAACTGGTGGTGCTCTTTATACTCCCTCTAACATAAGTAAGTGTGACCCACGAGATCATAAATAAAGTTGTAATTATGCAAAGTTATACCTCACCCTTTCATTTACTTGATTGAGAGGTAGATATGTCAGCCACCTACACACTTGGGACTTCTTAGATTGTCTATCCTTCAACAAGAACAGAAGGGGAAATTATATTAGATTAGATCTAGGGCAATTTTTGAAATTTTTTGTGTGTATTACATAAACTCCAATTTCTTAGCGGGTCGTTTGTAATTCCATATTGTCAAATTTTTAGGGATTTATTTGTAATCCTATATTGTTAATACTGAGTTTGAATTTTCCAAAGAGTTTTATGTAAATTTCAAAGTATAAGCATGCTTTTTGCAATTTTTAAAAATTTCAGGGCATTTTTTGCAAATTTTAAGTTTGGTTGGGGGGCTGTTTGTTTGTTTTAGTTTTTTCAGTTTTGATTTTCTTTCAAAATTTTCTTGTGATTTTTGGTTTGAATTTTCTTGTGATTTTTTCCAAAGAGTTTGAATTTTCCAAAGAGTTTTATGTAAATTTCGAAGTATAAGCATGTTTTTTGCAATTTTTAAAAATTTCAGGGCATTTTTTGCAAATTTTAAGTTTGGTTGGGGGGCTGTTTGTTTGTTTTAGTTTTTTCAGTTTTCATTTTCTTTCAAAATTTTCTTGTGATTTTTGGTGAGTTTTACATTATTGAGGGTGTTTTTGTAATTGTATAATTGTTTACGAGTTGTTTATAATTTTTTACTTACAAGGGATCTTTTCAATTTTGTCATTCCGCATGCTTAAAAAAAACAAGCCTCAACTACCCACCCCTTTTTTCCTACTCCAGGTTAAAAGTTTACCCTCATTTATGGTTAAACTTTATTATTGGTAAAGTTTAAAAAATAAAAAACATGGATAATTATGAGATAATATTTAACAATATTTAACAGGCTAAACTTAGCCTTCTTTACCCATATACCAAACAAGCCCCAAGTAGCAGCTGTAGCTACACCATAACTAAACTACCACTCTGTTAACATTGGACAAGTATGAAATATAATTATTGCCAATTTACATGATGCCAAAAATTGAATCATAAGGAAATACCGCATATACGAAGCCAAATAGAAGTTAGAAATACAAGAAATAATATTAAAGGAAAACATTTACAAATATGCATTTTCAATTTAGAGAACGTTCAGCTCTCTTTTCCTACTCCATACGACGATATGTGTGAGGATATAAACTTATTACATGAGAGAGAAACATCAAGTTGCATGATATGTTGATGAATCTTTTATCCTCCGACTCTTCATAACTAGTAAAACTGCATTTGACATTAATCATCATGTCACCCCTTGACCTACTCAGTCTCTTGCACATGCCTCTGTTCTAACATACGCCTAATTTCAAGAGAGATAATTTATCTGGTTTAGAAATCTTAATGAAAATTACCCAGAATATATTTGTAAAGCCATGCTTCAAATTAAGTGCTAACCAAATATACCAGCACAAATTTAATTCTTTCTAACATAGATTGTTCTTTCCAACACAAAATACTTGAATATAAGTCTTACACTCCCAACATGACTCTCAGTTACCAATAGATATTTGCGAGTCAATAGTTAAATATGTAGAATGGGTGTCTGAAGGATACTACACTACCACATATTTGCTCTAACGCAACGGTTCAAAACCGTTGCGCTAGCCATGGAACCGTCGCCCTTGAGCAAGTGCGACGGTTCTCAAACCGCCTCATATGCTGCCGTTGCCCTACCTCTACCGTAACGGTTTTGAACTCTATTGCGACGGTTTTTTGAACCGTTGCCCTTCAATACTTTGTACTTGTGTCAAGATTGGAATTGGATGTGTTGCTTATTTTATTAGGGACATTTGTGATTTTATTAGATTTTGGACAAATTAAGGAGTATCCTCCGTCCAATCCCAATCTGATTCATCTTGATCTCCACCTTCTGATTCTCCTTCTGATCCATATCATGGTTTCATCTGATTCATCTTGTCCCTAACAATCTTTGCCCTAAAACAATGTCACTAAAGTTACATAACCAGAGTCCATCTGAAATCAGTCCTCTATGAGGTAATGTCAGATTCATAGCGGAGATGACCTTAAGCAGAAAAGGTACCATTTTATAAATCCTTAAGACTAACTTTTTTATTTTGTTCATACAGCTTAAGCTAATGAAACCATGAAGTTTTGCCTCAAAAATTCCGTAGACAGGGAAGATATCTAAAATAAGTAGGTAAGTTGATAAGATTTAATCTACTTTATGAGCAAAACAGCAGTTAAACACAACACTATTAGCAAATTTAATTCTTGAAAGTCCCTTCTAATGGATCATACATCATCAAAACTTACTAACCAAACTTTTTTTTTTGGGTATTCTTCTTAAGTCTTCATTTTGCTGCTATAGCATATTTTAAGAGATACTACCAGCATTCCAGTAAATCATTGATCAAAAACATTATCCATAAGGTTTTCTTATATACAAGATGATTAACAGATAATCTTTTCTCTTGCATTTATGAACTGAGAGAGAACTACATAAATGTTACCGCATGTAAAACAAAGACAAGCGTCAAAACAAAAATCTCAATCATATACATAGAGAAACAATGTTCAATTTCTTTCATTTGAATAAATTGAATAGAAAATACAATTTGGGATGGGATTACGTTAATTGACCCATGTTGGCCCAAGTAAGATTAAAATAGAAGGTGTAAATTAATGTGTAATATATGTAGTAAATTAACTGAACAAGAATTAGTAAATTATGAAATAACAATTTAGTAACTTCTTTGATATATACATTGTTGGGGTTAAAACAGATGAGCTTGCCCATCAAGCCCAGCACAACTTACGCCTAGCTATACTCACACACAAAGGAAACAAGAGAGGCTAACTGAAATCAACGAATCAACAAAGAACTCCAAATATGTAAGATACCTAGGAGAGTTCATGCCCAACAGCTAAATGTTAGAAGGAGAAAATCCAATCTCTTATAAACACACAATCATAGAAATCACTAAATTTAACTGGAATAATCAATTTGAACTCAGAAAGCGGTAGTGCGAATTGAGAAATCAAAATATCGTGAGAAGAGATAGGTGGAGCAAACCCTAGAAAGCTCCGGTTAGCGAGATTGGGCTCGATTTCTGGAGCAACGAGAGTAGCTCGACGATGAAACCAACGAGATGAAAACGGCGACGAAAGTAAACGGACTCCGGCGAGGACTGAAAACGGCGACGAGGGAGTTTTGGCCACGGCGATTTTAGGGAGTTTTGGCCATGGCAGCGGCGATTTTAGGGATTTGGGAGAGAGAGAGAGTGAGAGATTTCCTTTTTAAGTTGGTGTGGTTTAAGCGGTCGGTCAAACAGTGGGCTTTACTCAAGCTCAAAGGTCAGTAACAATTATTAAGCCCAGAAACAATTATTAGAGATATGGCAACATTTTATATTAAATGTTGTATTACATCCTAAAAATCGTTACGATAGATATCTAACGCAACAGTTAAAACCGTTGCGCCTTAACCGTTGCAGTAGATCAATTATTTTGTAGTGCTAGCACTTACGCTGAATTTTCTCAACTCAAAACAAAATCTAATGTAGTTGTTTCCAAATTGACTTTAACGTAAACAAGTTGTAAACATTAAAATAATATTACACTTGTAGGTAACATGAAAGACAACTATGAGACTTCTCTTCTCCATATATTCTTTACTAAGAATCGGATATGAAACTCTAGCTAGAAGTGATTTTCTGTTGAAAGATAAACTGGAATCTCAGAATATTGTCTCCCCATTGCGTGCTCCAACTGTTCATTATTTTTCCAATAATTGACCCTGTCTTTTACACTATACCCAACGACAACAATAACGTGCAACCCCCCTCCAGTACTATTGCCAGGAGACCTGTAAACTTTTCCGACCTGAATAGATAGAACGAAACAAATTACACTAATTAATATCCGAACCAATTATTCAATTTTGAATTTATGTAAAAAACATAAGGATTTTCACAGTCATGACTTTTGACACATATTTTAATAAGGATTTTGCAACAAAAAAAGGACTATAAAAAGAACAAAAACTACTCACCTTGAGCTTCTTAAATTTAGGTGACTTTTATCACAGCAGCGACAGGGTGATTATTAACATGTGATAGCATAGTTTGTTGGTCCCCATTTGAAATTTCTCATAACCTGAAATCCGATATATTGGTGTTCTGAAAAATAAACAAAATCAATATTATAATATTTTTTTCAATTAGATAGAAAAAGCTAAAACACAATAATTGAAGGCTTAATCTTAATTACCTCGGTCTGCACGATGCAGTCTTCTTTTCTCATATGGAAGAGGCAATCCCTTTTGTACATGACCACTCTTTGCTTTATATATGTAGGCATCGAAAATTGCCTATAGGTCTCCACGAACAGTTCAGTGTTAAAGAGCGACGATGAACGTCACTATCCGATCCACAGGAGTTCGATTGACGTCGATGAACGATTGAAGTAAATCGACGAACTACGGAATAACGAAGGCACGGGCAAATCGGGAACCCTGCGATGTTCACAAGAAGAACAACGCCCTTCATATCTCGTTCACTCTACATCCAACCATCAGAACAGATAGAACTCTTCGTCAAGCTTCCAACGCACTTGGAATCACTCAAATCCGAGTTCGGATGAAGAATTTACGGCGGAAACAATCAAACGTACGCAACGGAGCGTCTCAGGCTGAATTGGGACACCCGGGGTGTCTAGGCAAAGCCAAGACACCCCAAGGGTGTCTTGGCTTGGCCGAGACACCCCAAGGGTGTCTAGGCTTTTCCTAGACACCCCAGGGGTGTCTAGGCACCCTAGGTGCGAGCAAATATCTCGCTTTATCCGAGATAGGCGCTTCAAGTTTCTAGATCCCCTCGCGGATCGACGAAGCTCTGCCCGATTTTTCTGGATCAGATCTGATTGCTAGGTAGTCCACGGATATCGACGTCCCCGTCACAGGCTAAAGACCCACGCAAGCAAGAGACGATAAACGGATCTTGTGTTTATTTTCAAAAAAGTTGTAATTTTTTATTTTTGTTATTTGAATTCATTTGTAACGTTTGAAGTTTTAATAAAATCAATGATGAAGGCAACTTTTGCTGAAAACAAACTGGCGACCACAGTGGGAGCCAACGGCCTCGCTGCCGAGGCCGTCGTGACGCAACCGGCATTCAAGATCCGGGTGAATGAAGAGATCGAATACGAGTTCGATCAGCAGAAGTTTGAAGAGTACCTCTCTTCCTCCTCCTCCAGATCCGCCTCTCCAAACAGGCGCAGGAAGACCTCATCTTCCAAGAATTCTCACGGACCCTCAGGATCGAAGATCCAAGATCCCATTGCCGCTGCTGCACCCGTGCCCCGTGGCATCCCTGCGGCATTCAAAGGGGTTGAGGTCGCAGATCTCCCCTCCACCACGAAGGTAACTGCTAAGGGCATTCCAACTTTGTCAAAGAGGGAACGTCAAAGACGGCGTCAACGCCTTGCGCGACAGTTGGCCAAGGCCGCAGAATCGATGGACGGGATCCGCTACAATGAGGATTTAAAGTCCAGACAGCGCCAAGAGCAACAACGCCGGACAACTAACTCCTGTTCTAAGGCAGAGACAAATGAATGGGTCCGCGTCAAAAGGAATCGCTCCACGCTCGAGGAGCGAATCAAAAAGCGTCGCGCCCTGCTTGCGCATGCCCGAGTCCTTCTGCAGAAAGCGGAAGAGATGCAGAAGGAAGAGGCGGTTAAAAAGCCGTCCACACATAAACGGGTTTGGGTACCAAAGTCAAAATTGGCACCTAAGGCAAAGGTGGACGGAAATGCCATCCAACCTTCATCAAATCCAGATCCCATCTCCCTTGCCCCCGCACCTACGGCGGAGTCAGGTAAGAACGTGGGTCCTTCTAGATCCAGGGTTCCGTTAAAAGGTCGTCTCGGTCCCTTACCGGAGAACCGAGGTAAAGCACCTGTCAAAGAGCGATTGGGAACATTGAAAGGTCCCCAAATGACAAATCAGACTGGGGGTCGTATCAATTCCCCCAAGAAAGATAATAGAGGGAAAGCCCCTGTTACCGACCGCATTGGGTTGCGTGTCGAAGTTCAAGAGCCCGTTAAGTTTTTACGCTCGCAAAAGCGTAGACTTGAACGAGCGACTTTTGAAAACGCTAATAAAGCGTCATATCCCCAGAGGGAAACACATTCGTCTGATGATGATTGTGTTATACCTGGGAAGTCATGCTAACACTCTATGGGTTGCTCCAGTTATCAAACTGATGAGTTGTACTATGGAGCTGGGGGGTGCGAGTAAGTCTCGACAGAGAGATGCTCGAGACACGGAACCTCACTGTCCGTGTGCCAACATCATTAAGGCGGTGTTGTCAGAATGCTGCTGTTCTAAAACCCCAAAGAGAGTCTCGGTGTTCGAGAGGATTTCCAAGCCAAGGCGTTTTCGTGGGAAGAAGTTCGTTCGCCAAGAGGATGAATTCCTAGAAGTGTCTGTTAATATGACCGGCAGAGGCAAATCAACACGACCCTCTAGCTCAGATCAACTTGCCGAAGCGTCCCAGCGTGTGACTCGATCGCGATCAGGGATCAATACGCGAAAGAATTACCAAAGGATGCAAAAGGGACTTCCTTTGGAAGAGGAGGTGTCAGATGTTGATTCAGATTCTTGCTCGGCTATAGCATCCGATGATACGACATCTAGTGCGGGGCAACCTTACGAGTCACTCATGATCAGCGTCGAACAAGTAACCAAGATGCTTGAAGATGCCTTGACTAAGCAGAAGGAAGCTTTCAAGTTCGAGATGGAGATGGCCATGCAGCAGATGAGAGAGATGCATGACCAGCAAATCGCGGCACTAACAACTCACCAAGGAGAACTCAGTCGTCACAATAATCCGAATCAAGAGGAGAATGAACGGGAAGAAGATAATGCCAACATGAATATCCCTCCCGTCAACAACAATAACGGAGGCGGTCCCTCGGATGATAATACGAAGGAAGACCACGTTACCTCTCCCAGAAACCACTCGAAGACAGGTACGAGTGAAGACAAGAAGATGAAGGACTTGGAGAGCAAAATCAACGCATTGATGAATGCTCAAGAAGTGAAAAGGTCCGGCATACCATGTCCATACCCAAGGGAGTGGGAATCAATTCCGTATCCGGCAAAGTTTAATTTAATCAACTTTACGCCGTTTGATGGAAAGGGTTCCCCTACCCAACACTTAATATATTTTAAGTCTCATTTAGGAATCATTTCTGGGAATGAGCCTCTTATGGTGCGGTCATTCGTCGGCACTCTTCGCGGAGCAGCCTTCGACTGGTATCGCCGTCTCAAGCTCGGGAGTATCTGCAGTTGGGACGACATGGAAGATATGTTTCTGACAAACTTCTTCGATGACGACACTGAAATCTCAATCGGTACACTATTCGATGAGAAACAGAAGAATGGTGAGACGGTCGAAAACTTCGTGAAGGGATTCCGAAACAAAGCAATGAACTGCAGGGATCCGGTCAGCGAAGACTTCATCCTCGAGACGTGTCATAATAACCTTTCATTGGACATCCTCGAAGCTATGGGAATAGCACCGCCAAAGACCTGGAAGGACTTAAAGGTGCGAGGAGAACGAGCCGAACGATTCCTTAAAAGGAAGAAGGCGGAAAGGGGTCAAATAGCAAATAATGCTCCGCAACCAAACTTTGTCCCTAAGGGTAAAGAAAAAGCACATGCAAATGCCGTGGACGCGAATCAAACGTTCGAGGTGCAAGTGCAACCGCAAGCGCAACAGCAAAAGGCGCCTCAACAATCAAGGTGGCAACAGCAGACCCAGAAGCCAAAAGCCTCGGAGCCGAAGTTTCCAAAAGTCTATTCATTCAAAGAGGATGAAGTTCCCGGTATTTTTAAATACCTTATCGAGAACAACAAGATCAAGTTGCCTCCAGTCCAGGATCAGGAAGATGCTAAGAGAAATACTGCGCATTTCATAGAGCGTTGCACCATCCTACCAAGGCTTGCTATGCCCTTAAGGACAAGATCCAAGCTCTAATCGATGTCGGGGTCATCACCATGAAGCAGCCGAAGGAGAAGAGAGTGGGAGCAAATGCAGTATCAATTAGCTTCGGTTCTGCTCCTTTGAACTGGCTCCAGCTTGAGCCAGTAATGAATGCAGTAGTGAAGACGGTGAACGATGATCCTCACAAGCAGCGCCAGAAAGGACTTGTGCCACACACAGCCCCTAATGGTGAGATTCTTTGGGTTCATCCAGATTTGGTGGGAGATGAACAATGGACTGGAACCTCTTCCAAGAAAAAGTCAAAAGGAAAAGGTAAGTCTTGTTATGGAGCTTCTGCTATTCCAGGAGAAGATGATGAAGAAATTCCCGCCTTCCCGCTTTCTGAAGATGAACAGGAGGCCTTTGTAACCCGAAGTGGGAATGAGTATCACTACAAGTACCCGGACGCTTCCGAACAATTAGGTACCAAAACCGCTCCTTCCAAGACATTGGCAGAACTGGGAATTGCAGCAACTCCCCCAACGCCTGTAACTACGGAGAAAATCCAAAGGGAAAGAGGTCTTTTACAGTCAAGAAGCCCAAAACCCTAGGCTAAGTCTCGATTCAAAATCATCGATTGGGAGAGACAACCGGAAATGCAAGCTCTCCGCCCCATTTTGACATCATGGCGCAGTTGGCCAATATCCCGGCTAGGATAACCCTATACGAGCTGTTGCGTCTTTCCAAGGATACAAGGAAAGCATTACAAGAGGCCTTGAACGACTCTGAAGCTTTCTTAACTCGAATCAAGCCATCTCCTGAAGGACCAGAGCCGTCAGCTCAACACTGCAATCTCGCGGCGCATCATTTTCCATGCATCTCTTTTACCAAAGAAGACATGCAGACGAAGAACTCAAAGCATGATCGGCCTTTGTATTTCACAGGGCACCTTGGCTCCAGCATGGTCAACCGGATCCAAGTTGATCCGGTTTCTGCTGTTAGCATCATGCCATTCCGACTGATGCATCATCTCGGAATCCCGACTAGCAAACTAGCCTCCACCGGCACTGCGATTTACGGATTCAACACCAGTGGGTCCAGACCCTTGGGAAAGATCGGGGATTTAAAATCAGAAGTTACCTGCTATGTGATTGACGCAGAAACGTCCTATAACTTACTATTGGGTCGACCTTGGATCCACAGTAACCTTATAGTCCCGTCAACTCTGCATCAATGCCTCAAGTACGTGGGCTCAAATAATGAAGTCAAGACGGTGGTCGCGGATAAGCAACCGTTCAAGGGATTAGAGAACTATTTCACTGATTCCCTTATATACGGCGCCGAATCCGATACTGAACCATCGGCCCAAGGAACGGACAGCGGGGATGAAGCTGACACCGAAGCTGGGTTTGATTATGATGGTGGTTTTATACTTAATGACATTGTACCCATTGTAATCAATCTTGACGATGATGAATCATCGGAAAGTAGTTGTAATTGGCAACTTGCCGAAGAACTATCAATAAACGATGATTTAGAGTACTCGATGTGTCTTGATAATGTCACTAAAAAGCTTTATGATAACCCTGATTTGTATATGCCTCTCCAATCATTTTGCATGACGAAAAAGCAGGTACATGACCCTTACGGAGCAACGCTTGTCATCCCCACG